ACACACACACACACACACACACACACACACACACACACACACACACAGTCTTAATCTTAAACACATTTCCAGAATGATAGCCACAACTTAAATTCTACCTACAAGAGTGTTGATAGCAGTGTGCTAATTTCACCCTCCTCTTCAACGTTTAATTTTTTTTTTAATTCAATGTAAGTTCTGATTGGCCATTACTGGTTAACTTCTAAGTTTGTTTAGACTTTAAGCAGATCTAAGACCACAGCTCACCTGAATTTGCTGTGGCCCAGTTCCAGCAAGTAGCCAGGAAGTAGGAGCTCTCTCAAAGGTGGAATAAAAGATACATTTGCAACAGACACAAACATGGCGAATTTCTCTGAGCTTTCAAGGCATTTTAAATGATTGTTTTCTCCTCAAGAAACCTTTTCCTACGCAACAGTGAGCCATGTTATTATACTCTCATTTGTGACCTAATGTTTCAAGTTCTTTTCTTTGAAACTCATTTACACATGCACAGAGTTGGTGGTGGTGGAGAAAGTAAATTAGTCTCCCAGACAGTTTCATTAAGACTTGTTCCGGAAGTAGAGTCGCAACAAATTGAGCCAAAGAATCAGTTTGTGTGTTTTCTTTTTTGCTACAATCAATAGTGCTTTGTCTGCTTAATGCTACATGGATTGTCAACCCTGAGTCCCCCTCTTTTAAGTTGCCACCTTTCTAGAGTCATTTCACCCTAAAGAAAGAAAGTTAAGACTTCAATTCAGAATTTAGGCTGATGCTACAGAAGTATTTCCTGCAATGAACTTGGCAGAATCCCTTCCTGTGATGAGAACAGTCACAGATCAGTTTGCAGAGTCCATAGGACAGAGGTTCGCAGTGTTTTGGTTTGTTGTTGTTGTTGTTGTTGTTTTAGTACTGTGATCCTTTAATATAGTTCCTCATGTTTGGTGACTTCCCAATCATAAAATTATTTTCTTTGCTACTTCATAACTGTAATTTGCTACTGTTATTAATTGCGATGCCAATATGTATATTTCATGATGGTCTTAGGTGACCCCTTGGAAAGGGTCATTCAACCCCCAAAGAGGATGCAACCAGTAGGTAGAGAAATGCTGCTATAGGGAATGCTACCAATCCTAGGAGTCATTCCAGACCTGTGCAGGCCTTCAGACTAAAACCAACATCTGGAAGGAATTCTATATATTAGGCAGGAAGACAGAAACATTGCAAGCCCATTTTAACTCTGAAAATACGGTTCCACATCAGTAGATACAGCTGTGTTTCCAAAAATAGCTGAGAGAACACAGCTAAGGTGGGATTTGGCTCCAGTTTCTTGGGTGCCTTTGCATTTTCTCTGACACCGACCAGCCTCCACTTCCCCACTGTGATACGCTGCTGGATGGGATTGATGAATGAGCTTCTCTGGTCTTCAGAGCAAAGTTTGATTTTCCAATTTTCCAAGAAATTTTTCTTAGTAGATGCCCCCAATTCAGATGAATAATATTTAACTGTGTAAATGAAGAAAGATTATTTACACAAATAATTTCTTTTAGTGTTAGGGAATTATAAAATAGGTATCAGAATCTGCCATTCTATGTTTGTTGATTTGTTTTGCTTCTGTTTTCAAAATTTCAATATGCGTAAGAGATGATAATATCTGAGTTCATTCATATTTGTTGCCAATGCCAGCATCAAAGTTGAGAGAGAGAGAGAGAGAGAGAGAGAGAGAGAGAGAGAGAGAGAGAG